GTGTTGATGCAGAGGGGGCATGTGATTGCTTATGCCTCGAGGCAGTTGAAGCCTCACGAGGCAAATTACCCCACGCATGACTTGGAGCTGGGGGCGGTGGTGTTTGCCCTCAAGATTTGGAGACACTATTTGTATGGAGTGCGGTTCATTATTTATACTGATCACAAGAGTCTAAAGTATTTGATGGATCAGCAGAACCTCAATATGCGGCAAAGGAGATGGTTGGATGTACTGAAGGATTATGATTGCGAGATCCTATACCATCCAGGGAAGGCCAACGTGGTGGCCGATGCTTTGAGTCGCAAGGCGACGGGGTCCCCGATTAGGGACATTTGTATGAGGATGACCGTGATTTTGCCTTTGTTGGAAATGATCAAGGGGGATCAGGTTGAGGGGGTGAAGAAAGAGAACTAGAAAACAGAGAAAATTCGGGTTCAGTATCCTTTGTTTGTCAAGAATAACCGCGGCCTTTTGACTTAGTGTGGCCGAGTGTGGGTACCATTGGCAGGGGGAGTGAGGTAGAGACTGTTAGAGGAGGCGCATAAGTCCAAGTTTTCTATACATCCAGGTGCAACAAAAATGTATAGGGACTTGAGACTGAGTTATTGGTGGCCTTGCATGAAGCAGGAGATCGCCTGGTTTGTGGAGCGGTGCTTGACCTGCAGGAAGGTCAAGGCCGAGCACCAGCGGCCTCATGGCAAGGTTCAGCCGTTACCCATTCCCATGTGGAAGTGGGAAGAGATCACTATGGACTTCATTACGAAGCTACCGAGGACGGCGAGGGGAGTGGATGTCATATGGGTTATTGTGGACAGACTGACGAAGAGTGCCCACTTCATTCCGATCTCCGAGAGTATATCCGCAGAAAAGTTGGCAGACATCTATGTTCGAGAAGTGGTGGCTAGGCACGGGGTGCCGGTGTCAGTGGTTTCAGATAGGGATGTTCGGTTTACATCCAGGTTTTGGAAAAAGTTCCATGAGGAAATGGGGACTCAGCTACACTTCAGTACAACATATCACCCTCAGACTGACGGTCAGAGTGAGAGGACGATCCAGACATTGGAGGACATATTGCGAGCATGCGTGCTGGATTTTGGAGGAAGTTGGGATACGTACCTCCCACTGGCAGAGTTCTCATACAATAACAGTTATCATGCCAATATCGATCGAGCTCCATTCGATATGTTATATGGTCGGAGGTGCAGGACCCCAGTGTGCTGGGACGAGGTTGGTCATCGGGTGATAGGAAGCACGGAGGTGGTAATCAAGACCACCGGGTTGATTCAGTAGGTGTGCGACCGGTTGCAGGTCGCGCAGAGCCGTCAAAAGAGTTATGCTGATCGACGGCGATCAGATCTTGAGTTTCAAGTGGGGGATTTTGTTTTACTGAAAGTGTCACCCTGGAAGGGGATTATCAGGTTTAGTAACAGAGGCAAGCTAAGACCTCGATTTATAGGCCCGTTCAGGATCATAGCCCAAGTGGTCAAAGTAGCCTACGTTTAGAGCTTCCAGAAGAGCTTAGTCAGATCCACAACACCTTCCACGTGTCTTAGCTTCGGAAGTGTGTTGCCGACGAGTCCGCGGTTATATCCTTGGATGATATTCAGGTGGATGGGGGCCTGAATTATTTCGAGAAGCCGGTTGCCATTCTTTACAGGAAGACGAAGGGACTTCGGAACAAGGAAGTGAAGTTGGTAAAGGTGCAATGACAGCACCGAAGGGGCTCCGAATGGACATGGGAGCCAGAGGAGGAGATGCGGGAGCATTACCCCGAACTGTTTTCAGCTGCAGACTTCGAGGACGAAGTCTAGTTCAAGTGGGGGAGAGTTGTAACATCCAAAATTCTGGTATGTCTTGAAACCCTAAGAAATGATAATTTTTGCATAATTGGTCCCTTAAGTACGCTGCGCGTACTTAAGTGTATGCTTAGCGTACTGCATGGAAGTGGTCGCGGAGGAATCAGGGTACGTCGGGCTACCTTGAGTTACGCGGGGCGTACGCGCCAGGGACGCAAAACCCTAATTTTCCGGACTTGAGGCCTATTTAAACAACTTTAAGTCCCTTGGACTAAACCCTAGAGAGCCTCCACAGCCTTAGAACGTCCATATACTCCTGGAAACCTTGTGAGATCATTCTTAAGCCTTAAAGAGTGCATTTGTGGCCACAAGTGTGAAGCTTAAAGTGATCTTCTTGAGAACACACCCAATACTCATGAATTTATTAAGAGATAGAGGGTGGAAGAGTGTTGAAGGTTGAGAGAAAATGTGTTGAATTTGAAATGGTGAGTGAGGTTGGAGAGGGAGAGAGGCCGAGAGTTAGAGAGGGGTGAGAGAATGGGGGTTGACTTGTGAAGGGATTGATAACATACTTGATTGGATACATGCATCTTTGCATGGATATCCACTAGGCTAAAGTGAGGTGTCAAACTCTACTTCCCTCATTTGTTTTGTTTTTTTTATTTGTTGTTGGGCCGAGAATGAGGGAAAGGAAGAGAGAATGAAAGAGTTTGGGCCCTTTCTTGATTTAGTTCGAATTTATGAGTCCCAAGATGAAGATTTTCGGCCCATTGGGCCCTTATGAGGGTTCACGGCCCAATAGTGATAAGTAAAAAGGGTTTACGGCCCAATGAAGCCCAAGAATATAGTTTACGGCCCATTAGGGCTTATGAAACCATTTACGGCCCATCATGGCCCATTAAAGATAAGATGAATCATTCTAGGCCCACATGACCCAAAATACTTTAGTTTCATGAATGTGGGTCCAATTAGAGCCCAAATAGGGTTCCTTGGCCCAAAATAGCCAAATTGAAAGTTTACTGGTCCATTAGGCCCAATAATAGGATCCTAGTCTATAATAAATTTGAACCCGGATTTTTAGGGTTTTCAACCCATAGTTGAACATATGAGATTATTGTATTAGGTTTTGAACTTCACTCAGGAGTTTTGATTCAAATGGATGATTTCAATTTAGCATATAGTATGATATTCACTTAGAGTACAAGTCTTACTATAGTTGATGTTTACATGAAAATAGAATTTCCTAGCTAAAAATGCTAGTTGTGACAATCCGACGTCCGTTTTCGTCTGTCTTTTTACCGTTGAACTAATATCAACAAGATCTTCGATTCTCATTTAGGTTGTTTCGGCTAAAAATCACTCGATCTAAAATTCGAGTTTCGGGCTGCATACTGCTAAGCCGAAACTTAGAAAAATCATAACTTCCTCATACGAAGTCAGATTTGAGCGTTCTTTTTATGCACACTCTCAGTTTAACGTATACTACGACTTTCGTTTAGATTTCTAAGGCTAAAAAGCACTTTATCGTAAATTCACTTTTTACGTCACACAACGTTGTGCCGGTTCTGTCGCGAAACTTCGACAGGTCATAACTTCTTCGTTATAACTCAGATTTCGGTATTCTTTATATCTCCAGAGTCCTTGTTTCAACCACTACAACTTTCTTCATATATCGGCTTCATCTAACATTTATTTTCGACGCTTATTTTTACCCCTAACTTATTAAATCATAATAATTAAGTATAAAACACATAATACTCAAATAATACGTCTTATTACTTCAAAACAAATTACAAAGGTTGGCCTAGACTATTACATCATCATTAATGTCTAGCCTAGAAACACGAGCGTTACAGTGGAGTTTTTTAATGGAGTACAACGGATCATTGCATTTTATATTTGATAAAACCAAAAGGTATACATTTTATAAAAGCAAAACTTATACATTATATAAAACCAAAACTTATTTTAAAAGAAAAACCATATGTTACACGTAAAATAAATAAATAAATAAATAAATAAAAACTTAGGAAACTGTATTCCGGAATCGTACTCCGGAATTCCAGAGAGCTCTCCGGAACAATGTGTTCCGGAGAATGTGGTTATTTTTCAATATATATATATAGGTCATTTATGTCAAAAAGATCATTTATAAAAATTAGATTACTCAATTTTCCTTTTTATTATTTGTTTTTCACTCAGTGAACTTGGTACTTTGATGATTATTTAGTTAATTTGCTTTTAAATTTATCTAATTCATAGGCTTGAAGTCCATACGATGGAAAGTTATAACTATTGATTGGGTTACATAAAATATAGTTAGAAAATTTGAAATTTCTCATAAAGTTAAAAAATATGAAATTGTTGTTAGTTTATGTAGTTATTATAATCTTTGTTGGATGTATTTTATATATATATATATATATATATATATATATATATATATATATATATATATATATATAATATATATATATATAGAGAGAGAGAGAGAGAGGTCATTTATGTCAAAAAAATCATTTATAAAAATTAGATTACTCAATTTTCCTTTTTATTATTTGTTTTTCACTCAGTGAACTTGGTACTTTGATGATTATTTAGTTAATTTGCTCTTAAATTTATCTAATTCATAGGCTTGAAGTCCATACGATGGAAAGTTATGGAAAGTTATAACTATTGATTGGGTTACATAAAATAAAGTTAGAAAATTTGAAATTTCTCATAAAGTTAAAAAATATGAAATTGTTGTTAATTTATGTAGTTATTATAATCTTTGTTGGATATATATATATATATATATATATATATATATATATATATATATATATATATATATATATAATGTAACGAGATATCAAGTTTTATTATAGACGTAACATTATATAACCTCTATATCCATCTCATCAGCTCATTTAATGAGTAGACGTCCAAGTCAACAATGATATCAGTAAAATATGTGTTATAGAAAGAAAACAACTAAATTATTACTTTTACCGGTAATTTATGTTTTTTTTTTCGTAAATAAAAATTAGTTTGAAACTGATTCATAAATTATTATAAAATAATGAGAATTTAATACGTCTAGGTCTGCAATGAAACCGTAAACCAAAAAAGATAATAATAAAATCTTCATTTTTACTAATGATTCATATTTTTTCAAAATTTTCGACCAAAATGAAGTTGTTTAGATAACTATTTACTAAAATGGGGTTGTTTAGAAACTATTTACAAAAATAGTATTATTTCAAATTAAAATTTAATATTATTGTTTTAGAAAAAACTAAAAAAGAAAGAAGAATTATTCCTCCTATCGAGGAGTCTTTGGTTTGTTAAAAAGAAGAAAGAAACTAGGGCTTAACTGTCGTTCCCCTTCGATCCGCCTCACCTCATCCGTCAACGGCCATCTGTCGCCTCTCTTATCGGTTGTCGGCCACCTGCGGCCTCCCTCATCAGTCGCCGACCACCTGTCGCCTCTCCAGTTGATCAAAATTTTGCAGTAAGTCCATTATATTAATGCATTTTTGGTGGTTTTTTCCTACTCTGCACACAATTTAGTGATTTACAGTCAAAGCCTTTAAATGTTACGTGTTTGGGCATAATTTGGTGGTTAATTTATTTATTCTTAAGATGTTATGTGTTTGAGTTTCATTCGCAATCTTGATTATGTTGCAACAAAACATATTTTAACTTTGCATTCCCATATTAGTTGGGCTATTTTATTTCTTCTTAAGATGTTATGTGTTTGTGTTTCATTTATAATCACGATTATATTGCAACAGGAACACAAAGACTGTTTTATTTTTCTTGATCAATTTGTGTAGATGAATTCTTGTTATCATAGCTTGTTAGAAAGAAATGCCAAACTTTGTACACAAACACCAAGTAACTGCGCTTCAGCTCTTTTTTTTTTTTTGCTGAAATCAATTTAGAACTCCTAATATATGCTTCATAATTTTTACTGAAATCAAATTGGTTCTTATATTTTGTTGAAATCAGATTAGAACTCCAAATCTTAGGTTTATGCTTCCTGAATCCTTTATGTTACTTTTTTTTTTTATGCTTCCTGCTTCCTGAAATCATATTGAAGTTTATATTATTATGCTTCATGAAATCAGATATGTTTTGCTGAAATCAGATTAGAACTCCAATGGTTGTTTACTTGGTTTTATGCTTTTTGGATCCTTTATGTTTACTTTGTTTTATGTTTATTTGTTTTTAGCTTTTTCTGTTTAAAGTTGCAAACTATATCAACTGTGGATATGTTTAAATTGATGAAATGGGTTTTTTCTATAATGTCTTGTAATATTAATATTAATTCAAATATTTTATTAATTAATTCAGTAAAAAATAGTTCAAATGTTGAAATAGTCAATTTTCCTCGTTGTACACTTTTCATCCATCTGAATTCTTAACCATCCCACGTTAATTTTTTCAGCATTTGAGCAACGGCTCTTAACGCGCCACGTGTAATATCTTTCAACCGTCAGCAAGCCTTGTATCCTTAGCTTCTTCCCCATTTCTGCCTTCGTATCTCGAAGAGTTTTTCCGCAGACCTACTAGCCGAATAATGGCTTCCAAATTTCTCGCAGCCGCCGTCCGCCGATCGATATCCCCCAGACTCCTAACACCCATCCGCCCTCTCTCCACCACCGCGGCGGCCGTGGCGGAACCCTACGATGAGACCGCCGGAATCTCAATGAAAGGGGTAAAGATCTCAGGAAGACCACTCTACCTAGATATGCAAGCCACTTCCCCTGTTGACCCTAGGGTACTCGATGCTATGCTCCCATACTTCGTCTCTCAATACGGAAACCCTCACTCACGCACTCACCTCTACGGCTGGGAATCCGATGAGGCGGTGGAAGTTGCACGACTGCAAGTCGCCAATCTCATCAACGCATCCCCAAAAGAAATCGTCTTTACATCCGGCGCCACCGAGTGTAACAACATCTCTGTAAAGGGCGTGATGCACTTCTACAAGGAGAAGAGAAAGCACGTAATCACGACTCAGACTGAGCATAAGTGTGTTCTCGATTCATGTCGTCATTTGCAGCAAGAGGGTTTTGATGTCACGTATCTCCCAGTGAAACCCGATGGTTTGATCGATCTAAACGAGCTCCGATCTTCAATTCGGAGCGATACAGGGCTGGTGTCGGTGATGGCTGTGAATAACGAGATCGGAGTTATTCAACCAATGGAAGAAATCGGTGAAATATGTAAGGAATTCAACATCCCGTTTCATACAGATGCAGCTCAGGCGTTGGGGAAGATTCCAATCGACGTCAACAAGTGGAACGTGAGCTTGATGTCGTTAAGCGGACATAAAGTGTATGGTCCGAAAGGCGTTGGAGCTTTGTATATGAGGCGGCGACCTCGAATTAGGGTTGAGCCACAGATGAACGGCGGAGGACAGGAAAGAGGGATCAGAAGCGGGACAGTTCCGACTCCATTGGTGGTCGGAATGGGAGCCGCCTGCGAGCTTGCAATGAAGGAGATGGAATACGATGAGAAGTGGGTGACAAAACTGAAAGACAGGCTGCTGAATGGAGTCAGATCTAAGCTTGATGGGGTTGTAGTGAATGGAAGTACTGAAAGACGATATGCAGGTAACTTGAACTTGTCGTTTGCATATGTTGAAGGTGAAAGCTTGTTGATGGGGTTGAAGGAGGTGGCTGTATCAAGTGGGAGTGCATGTACTAGTGCTAGTTTGGAGCCTTCTTATGTGTTGAGAGCTTTGGGTGTTGATGAAGATATGGCGCATACTTCAATTAGGTTTGGGATTGGGAGGTTTACCACTGAAGAAGAGATAGATAAAGCTGTTGAATTGACTGTTAATCAGGTTGAGAAGTTGAGGGAAATGAGTCCACTTTATGAAATGGTGAAGGAGGGGATTGACATCAAGAGTATACAATGGTCTCAACACTAACTTAGTGGAGTTGCTGGTGTTTTTACAGGGTATTATACCATGTAACCATATCTTTTCTTATGTTATTTACTAGTTACATGTTTATAGACTTTGCTTCTTCTCTTAAATTTTGCACTATGGTTGTTAAATTTTGGGTTTAAAATGAGGGATTCATGACATGTATATTATTTACATTGTTTTGGCTTTATGTGTGTATGTATGGTTGTTTTGTTTGCATCTGTTTAGGCTGATGGTGGGTTTGTTGGTGTCCCTACAGAGACAACAGAATCCTCATGGTGGCTAACTCGATAACAAAGTCATTGAAGCTGGGGGGGCAACAAACACAATCTGCATCTAAAAGACCAAAATACTAAGAGTAATAGACATGCCTATGATAAATAAGGGTCTTTGCATTCCAATTGTTATTTATAACCTAAACAGCTAAACTAGATGCAGGATTACTTTTTGAGTTACTTTTTTTCTTTGTGATTTTTGTATTTGTATAATTTATTTTCTTATACCCTACATGTTGGTGATTGTAGTGTCATCAGGATATTTTGTGTAATTGAAACTTACATGTGAGCTAAAGGGTTTCATAATTTGTACTCTAATATATGTTTGAGTGTGTGCGGAGTGCATACGTGTATAAGATTGAATTAGAAGCCGGTTTAACGACAAGTTGGTGATTTGAGGGCAACGCCCCTTTGGCGGGGTTGATGGGCAATGCCCCAAAAACTCTTCGGATTTTACAAGTGGGTACATAGTGGAAAATTTGAATTCTTGATGGGGATTATGGTAAAATTGACTAAGATTGTCAGTTTTGGAAACCATTGATTTCCTCATTAATTTCATATACCCTTGACTTGTTTCCAAAGGAACCCATGACGGCCAATCCTAAAAACGAAACCCTACGTCTCGTTTCTACATATATGGCTCTTCTTTTTGAGGAGGATAACCTTTTAGTTCTCGTTTTTCTTCTTACGAACTCAGAATCTTCTAGCAATTTGGCTTATGTTTTCTATGCCTAGAATCGTAAGTGTCCCTTTGGGATTATCTGGGGCTGAATTTATTATAACCCGGACATATGGTAGAAGTATAAGTTCGAAAAGTGTTTATACGATCCAAAGGATATCCAGATCTCGACTATAAACGATACCTAAATTTCTAAAACTACATACATGGGTTAGGATTAGAGGGTTACCCTATTCGACTATGTTTGTAAATTTTGGCTTCTTCCAACCCATTTGGACCTACAAATTATAAAAATTTCATTGAAACCAATCACATTTTTAGATTTAGTAAATTGTATAAACAAAGTTGATCTATGTCAACATAGTCGTCATTAAAGCTATAAGAACTTCCTAGAACTTGGTGTCATATTATCAAACTCTGCTGCTGACATCTCAGCTCCTTCTCCCATTTTTAGAGAAAAAAATAAATGACAGAAATACCCTTTTTGGTGCTGAAGAGCAGATTGAGAGGTAGCTTTCCCACTTGAAGTGGGAAAAAGAAGACTATTAGTTTTAGTATCACCCTCTTGCTTTATTTGAAATGGACATTGAAGCTTCATTATCATCTTTCATGGTGGGGCTTCATGTTGCGATTTTGACCATAGAGTTTACATCTAATGACTGTGTTGGTAGGTCAAAAACATACAACCCTTTGAGTAAATGTTACAACATAAAAAATACCCAAAACTGAAATGAACTTCCAAATTTGCAATTGACAATACAACAAATCAAACAATACAACTGGTCGATAACATTTCCATCTGGTCAATATACTAGTCACGGCTCCAAATTTGTATTGTTCATAAGGCGGTTGTGTTTTAATGTTATATATAATTATATCACGATTTCTTATTATTTCATATCAACCTAACATTAATTTACATATTTTACTTCCGTACTTTCAAGGTTGACTAGAGAGATCTTTTTGATAACTTATTTGCTTGTGTGTTGATTGTTATTGGTGATTGTACTTGAAAAAACAAATTCCCACATCTTTATAAAAAATCGGGATGACAAGTCATAGATTCAGCATTTTCTATCCGGGAATTGAGCGCTCTTAAGTCTTAAATGGAATAAATGGCTGCCAAAACTGTTTCGTTTGGACCCTCCTCTTAGAGGGTGTTTGTTTTAGCTTCTTTTTCCAGGCTTTTTAGCTAATGAGTTTATATTTTGGGCTTATGAAAAAATTAATGTTTGAGTTAGCTTATTAGCTTAAGCTTATGAGCTGATTTTACCTAAAAATAAGCTAATTTTCTTAAGCTATTTCAATTCGGCTTTTTTTTTTCTTCGATGCATGAGCTTATTTATGTATATTTACGTATTTACCCTTATTCTTCTTTGGCCAAAACACCATAACTCTCTTCCCCAATTGTGTAATATAAGCATGTCCATTTTGGTCATTTTACAAAAAATAAACTAACCAAAACACTATTTTAAAAAGAACTTATTAGCTTATAAACCATAAGCTAATCCAAACATTTTTTTTACTTTATAAGCTAATAAGCTCATTAGTTATTAAGCTATTAAGCTCATAATGTTAGACCCAAAAAAAAATAAGCTTACACAACACCCATTTAAATTGAATCTGGGTTGCCTCTAATCTCTCCCTTCTAGCTTGTGTCCTGTAAAATGTTGGAAGAAATCGCTGTTCATATTTCCCTTTATTGTCAAAGTGCAATATCGGTTTGGGCCGAGTTTTGGCCTATTAAATTCATTTTCGGACATTATAAATGCAGCAGTCTCTAACCGAGGGGAAAAGAGTATGCTCTTAGATGTTTTGCTTGCCATGGTGCTTTGGATTATTTGACAAAGCAATTAAACGTGAAGTTTAAAACTAAACTTGACTTTTAAACTATTTAAATCATACAAAATGCTATTTTTGACCAATAAACTAATGCAAAAGGCTATTTCCTGCAAAAAAAAATTGTAATTTTGTTTGTTTTATGCAAGACTAAACTGCACAAATGGTCCTTGTGGTATGTCGAAAATTACTACTTTGGTCCAAAAAGATTTGGACTAACAACAGAGGTCCAAGGTTTTCATTTTGCTACAAGTTTGGTCCAATTTGTTTTGAATTTTTTTAAAATGTTGATTTTTCTCTTTGTATTTTCTTATTTTAATTTTTTTATTATAGAAATTTGGAAAAAAAAATACCCATTCCTCCCCGCCTCTCTCTCTCTCTCAAAAAAAAAAAAAACTCATCCCTATTCTAAAAAAAGAGAATACGACTGGAGACTGTCTCCAGTGATCTTCATTCGCGAGCACCACCACCTATCTCCTGAGATGTCTAGCTGTAATACCCAAAAATTTCAAGCAAATTTAAACTTTTAAAAACACCTCAAGTTCGTCAAACATTACAACTTTGTTTTCAAAATATTATTTATCAGAGTATATCCCAGAAACAAAACATAAAGTGAGGAGCTGTACGATCATGCATTCGCCTTGCCGCGATCCCCTGATGTACCTGAAACAATAAACTGAAACTGTAAGCCCGAGAGCTTAGTGAGTTCCCCCAAAATACCGATACACATACAGTCCACATAACCATGTCAGCATCATCATATCATAACAACTGAACAGAACAGCACATAACGGGTTCACAGCCCTACAGACTGTAATACCCACGAGCCCACAGTACGAGTCGCCCTTAGCCCGTAACTGGAATGCTCCCGAGCCCACAATACGAGTCTCCCTTAGCCCGTAACTGGAATGCTCCTAGGGTTTGTTGGCTACTGCACGAAGCAGTGCAACCTCAACCCATCCCATATAACAAACACATATCATAACCACTGAGCATGCAATAATCATATAACATCACAGGTAGTCCTACAGGTCTACCTAACTGGCATAACCACTATCATGCAACACTAACTCATACTCAACGTCTAACACTGCTAGGATAACATATCCAATGGGCCGGCCTTGGTGCCTTAGACCCCTTAGTATTGTGAGGATAACTCACCTCGCAACTGTCGTCTGAAACTAGAAAGCTCAACTCCCGGATCACCAACACGAACTCCACCACCTATAGTTACCATAAAACCTTTTTTCATAAATCTCCAAATTACCAGAATACCCTCAGAAGTCAACTGGTCAACCCTTGGTCCAAGTCAAAGTCCACAGTCAAAGTCAACAGTCCATGTTGACTCGACTCGTCGAGTGCAGTTCACCGACTCGTCGAGTCCTTCCTGAACTCGAGAAGTCGTGAAATCCTTGATTGGCTCATCGAGTTCCCCTTTAACTCGCCGAGTTCATACGTGTCCAAAAATTGGTAGAAACCCTAGCCGACTCGCCGAGTTCAAGGCAATCTTCAACGGACTCGCCGAGTTGTTCATCCAACTCGTCGAGTTCATGGCCATCTTCAACGGGCTCGCCAAGTTGTTCATCCAACTCGTCGAGTCCTTGCAGACCTTTATCCATGTAGATGCTTTTTAAGCCATGGCAAGGTTCCAGATTACAAATCCAAGCTTCTAAGGCATGTTTATCACGTAAAGTTGCAAACTTTACGCACATGCAAGGCTCTAAAGGCCCTAAATGACCAATCTAAGCTTCCAATGGAACTTTACACCTTGGGAGAGTCTCATCCTTGCACAAGCTGGAAACTTTATGGACTAAGAAGCCCAAGGGAGCTCAGTTCTGAAGTTACAACTTCAGATCTTAGCTTGCACACAAGAATAGCTTCCAATCATACCATGAAAACCCTAGAATTTGTCCAAAGAGGGGATCTAGAATGAAATGAGGTCAGGGTAACGATTTATACCTTCCAAAAGATGCCCAATAAGGTAGATTTCAGATCCCACAAGCTCCTTGCTTCTGAATACTTGCTCTCCAAGCTCCCTTCTCCACAAAATCCTCTTCCAAACTCAAAAATACACAAATGGAACACACACACTCGATTAGGGTTTGAGAGGGACAAGAAGAAGTAAAGGGGAGGCTGGGGGAGGCCAATGATCCTTTAAATAGGGTGCAAAACCCCGAGATTTAGGGTTTCATCTGCCAGCTTCTACTCGTCGAGTCCCTTCTTGGACTCGGCGAGTAGGTCATTAAAATAGGTGGACCAACCCGCTGCTACTCGATGAGTAGGGAAATCAACTCGTCGAGTAGCCCTTGAAATCAAGAAACTCACACATTAAATCAATACCTGAGAATCGGGGCGTTACACTAGCAAAGACAAAACTATCAAGTTTGTGAAATCTGACATTGATATGTAAATCTTCTCATATACAAAACCCTTACCAAATTTACATGAAGATGAATAATTGGTCTGAAAAGAAGGAGAAAGGCAAGTTCGACTCCAGATCTGGGAAGAAGGATAAAGACAGTCCAAACGATCGGTCATAACAAATCCTCGTCGTCGTCGTCACAGCAAACCCTCGTCGTTGTCGCCACCTCTGTAAACCCTAACTTAGTCTCTCTCTCTCTCTCTCTCTCTCTCTCTCTCTCTCTCTCCTTCTCCAACGGTTGTGCCCCCTTTCTCAGATCTACGCCATATTCGTGGACTTGCAGATCGTTGCCATGTTCTTCAAGATTCTTAGGATCCAGATTAAAACCCTTAAAACCCTTGATGCTCATCAAATCTTAAAGACGAAAACCCT